GTGTGTGTGTGTGTGTGTGTGTGTGTGTGTGTGTGCATGTATGTGTGTGTGTGTGTGTGTGTGTGTGTGTGTGTGTGTGTGTGTGTGTGTGTGTGTGTGTGTGTGTGTGTGTGTTTCTACGATTTTACAATGATACATATTGACTGTTTGTTGAATAATACAAACGATTTCGCTGAGTAAGGAAATTATAACAGATTACGCGAATAAATTTTCATCGATGCATACACCTGTGCGTCGGTCTGGCGCACCTGGGGCAGAACAGTTAATCGACGTTTGTAAATAATTGGCTGTCAATTTCGTAACCGGATCTGCTTTCCACCGAGTCTTGGTACTTTCTACGGTACTTTACGTTATACGCTACGTTTTAGCGGTCAAAATGAAATGAACGGAAACCCTATTTTTTAAACCAATTTAAAATTTGGGAACGTTCTATCGATTTGCTTTGCGTTGCGTTTTTGTCTGGTTTCTTTTCTGTGCCTTATTAAGTTGGCACCGGAAGCTTTATACCGCTGAATTAACATTCTGTTGGTAATGCGACTAACGTTAGCTATTTTTCTATATTTTCTGCCTTTCTGCGTCGCAGCGCAGCATTAATGGCCCAGTGGGTGTTTTAAATTATCCTAAATTGCCCATTATTTCCAAATTTCGTTCACCGATCTATTAATGAAAAACATTATCGCGCGCGTGCGTACGCCCGGTTCCAACTGATTGTCTTCACTAGAAATGCTACTCTCAGTCACAAGCTTTGCGTACCAATGCAATATATTGTTTTATGTCTGCATACAGTACGCATATTGCAAATACTTGCAATTTTATCACTTCATATAAAGTATGATATTACACGTTTCATTATTTAACACGAGATCTAGTTAATTCACTACAAATCACGCAGACAAGTGAAATCGTCTTCTGACAAATGATGCGCAAAACTTTTCAACAAGTGCTTAGTAAACTTATCACGCGTCAATAACTTGCTCGCGTAGAGAAGCTGAGGACTACACCGCCCTCTACCGGGATGAGGACAGCGATGAGGAGGAGGAGGAGGGAGAGATACTGGAAAGACTGCGGCAACACAAGGAGATCATCGAGAGCTTGCGTCTGAAGCCATGGAGGATGAAGAAGAAATTGCAGACTCTACGGTAAAAATAGCATAGACACGAAACTTTCTTGACGTGGCTAGTTTGGAGCACGTTTGTATACTCACATGCCCTTAGCAATCGACGCTCCAGCACAACTCGTTCATATGTCAGCATGTTCTGCTAGCATCTATGACAAATACGACATAAGCATATACGCTCTCCTATGACACTATTTGTCATAGGAAGATGCTTCCTATAACAAATATTGTTGTATGTGTTGTGCGCATCATAGGAGTTTAGGAGCGCTAGTATGAACGCAAGCAGTGAATTTCAGCTGTAAAGCGGAACGAAGTTGACTCACCAATATTTGTTATAGGAAGAATCTTCCTATGACAAATAGTGTCATAGGAAAGCGGCAGTTAGTGTGTATATGCGTATGTCGTATTTGTCATAGATGCTAGCAGAACATGTACAGCGAAAAGCTTGCTAGCAGAACAGGTACAGCAAAAAGCTCGCTACATATATGCGAAAACTTACGTCGTATTTGTCCGCTAAATAGCACACGTCCACGGGTAGAGCAATACATGCATGAGATTGGTCAAATACTATACTACTCGTCCTATCAACTCATCGTTCATATAGCTAGCCCCCACTGATGCCTTTGGGCGCCATTGGCTAAAGTATGTTATGTTCGTATGTGCATACACGTTGATTTGCCCAATCACGCACAGGTACAAAAACCAAGTAACATAGAACGCAATAGAAAAATTGCTATTATGGTCAAATTTGACAAAAGATAAGCGCTTTCTACATCTCACTATTCATCAAAAACCTGAGAACGTTCAAAATATTCAAGCAAAAGTCCATTTTTTACTCGGGGGGGGGGTATAGATAAAATGAGGTAATAATCAAACACCCAAAGCGACATGCCGTTATAAGCGTTATAATCAATCTTGGCGTTTAATCAGAAACCTGACATTAAACTGTCATACGAACGTAATGTTGTTTTAAAGACCGCAAGCACAATTGATTGAATAATTTCGATGTTTTACAAAAAACGCCACTTTCAAATGTGTGTTTATTATTTTAATTAAAATATAACTCCGCCGTCAATTGTAATTAACGCGAATATCACAAGCGGATTAATATTCATGATTTTAAGCCTACAGACATTTTAATTCCTGCTTAAGTTTTTATGTATGCTACACTTTTGTCCGTACGTTTCGCATATCCATCTCAGCGAGCAACTTGCGTAGAAATAATTTAAATTTCGAGCGCGTCTATATTTCCACTAACACCATGTGTGTATAGGATGGCAAGACGATACGTAGAGAAGATAGAGGGCCGGCTCTCAAAGACACGAGGATATCAAGTAGTCGGAGTTAAGGTAAACAAAAATAGAGTGGTGGACAGGTGCGATGCTTCGATGATTTTGAGACATTATTGAATATATCTATCTAATATATATATATATATATATATATATATATATATATTATATGTCTATAATCATAGCCATTGTGAATACACCTCTCTACATAGCGAGGCAAATAGCAACTGTAGCTTAAGGCTAGTATCTCATCTCAGCTGTATATCCGCTCAGTGCCTTACCACGCAACTTGAAGCAGTGATATTGTGAAATGCTTTGGCCAACCTGCAGCGTTATTGATCTGAAAAGTTCGTATTTCTGGTTATTATTTGTCTGGGATAGTACTACTGCAGCATTTGATTGCTCGCCAAGAACGACTATATTGGTGAATCAAATATACGAATGCAACTGTTCTAAATCTGAGCGCGATACGTAATTACGTAACGTTAACTAATTCCCGACTACCAACGTACAAAAGTTTTAACAAAGTACGCTTCCTGTAAACGACCCTGTGTGACATAGGCTTGCTGATGATTGGTAACGAAAATGCTTGCTGATTAATGATGAAATTAAAATATCTCTGCTGCTTCGGCCAACTGCAATATTATGGTTTTATAACGTGTTTATATTACTCTTGCTCATCATCAGCCTTGGGTCAATACGGATTTTGTCAAAGGCAGTGGCAACGCGGTTCCGCGGCCAAAATCCGTTGCATTACTATGCTGGAACACTGCTATAACCCTGGATTCCCAATAAAAACTCTGCCAGAGAGCAAGCTCTGTGCGTTTTTCTAATACGTTATACCAGAAACAGCTTTCCGCTACCCCGCCGTAGCTTGCTCTATTCTGCGCGCTCTCTAAATTTTCCCGTAGGCGTTAGCATTTAATCATCTATTCCCATCACCACGGTTTAACACCGAGGCCTCTCGGTTTTCCAATTTTGTCGCGCAGCTCGATATAAAAGAAAATTCCCGCGACTCGCCAATTTCGGGTGCTTTGCTTTAACTCATCAGCGGACGATAGAGCTGCAGACACCTGTATAGGTGTCAAAGTTTTCCTCTCTATAAGTTACCGATAATTGCAGCGAGCTTTAACGAATGACAACTGGCGAAAGCCGGTACCCCGCATGCACCGACGATGCGATACTATCGACAGTTTTTGCAATCTAGTTCTGGAAGAAGATGAAACGCAGCTTCTCCAACTACATTGTGCTACTGATCCCATGGGAGATCCGGATACGGCGGATAGAGAGTGAGTCTTGGATATCGGTTGTCGAAAGCTAAATAACTCATTCGAAAATATCTTTAGACCCTTTCACCGGGCACTCCGCTATGTTCACAAAACGATGGAACTTTTAAGCAGTCACCTGTCTTGAAAACCCCCAGATATTGCTAGGCGTAACAGATCCTTACACTGTTTGCACAGAATGACGCGATGTCATCTGCGTTTAGAACGGTTGTTCAGAAAATATAGAAGTGAAAGTGTCTATTATAATCATAATTCGTCGTATTCGGTGAGTGTATACGTACATAAAAGCGCGAGTGGTACAGCGGACGTGAGTGGGCGTGAGAGCATGGTAGCGTGAGCGTGTGGGTTGTGGAGAGGACGTGAGTTGTAGCGTGAGTGCTTGATTGGTGGAGACGGTGTTAGTTGTGGCATGAGTGTGTGCGTTATCTACATTTTCTACAGGTCATTTCGGCACCGTCGTTGCTTCATACTTTACCTTCCTCCGCTGGATATTCTGGGTGAACATAGTCATTACAGTCCTCACCATCTGCTTCATCGTCGTCCCCGAGGTAAAATTCATATATCGTATGAATAGGCACGCAGGTACGCGCACGCACGCACGCACACGCGCAAGCTGCCCCGCACGCACAGGAAGCTAAACACGTAGGGTTTGTCTATATTCAGGCTGGTACAGGAGATAATTTGCATATTTTGTCACGTGGTTTGTGTTATAACCAATCAGATGTAATTGCGGTGGAGAAGGAGGAGAGAAGCTGGTGGAGAAGGAGGAGGGGAGAAGGGAGAAGGTGGTGGAGAAGGGCGAGGGGAGAAGCTGGTGGAGAAGGAGGAGGGGAGAAGCTGGTGGAGGAGGTGGTGGAGAAGGAGGAGGTGGTGGAGAAGGAGGAGGTGGTGGAGAAGGTGGCAGGGAGGTGCCCTTCTGCCTGGCACCACCTTCTCCCTTCTTCATTCTCCACCAGCTTCTCCCCCACTTCCTTCTCCACCAGCTTCTCCCCTCCTCCTTCTCCACCACCTTCTCCCCTCCTCCTTCTCCACCAGCTTCTCCCCTCCCCCCTCTCCACCACCTTCTCCCTTCTCCCCTTCCTCCTTCTCCACCAGCTTCTCCCCTCCTTCTTCTCCACCACCTTCTCCCTTCTCCCTTTCCTCCTCCTTCACCATCTTCTTCACAGCTGGAAGTGATATGCAAATTATCTCCTGTACCGGCCTGAATATAGACAAACCCTATTCACGTAGGCCTACTCGCAAACAATCGAGCATGAACACGCCTCCCACGAAACATATAAACACCTACGCGCGCAAATGAACTTGCCCCGGTGCTACTGATATGTACTTTCGTCATCGGAGCCCGATAGGGATAGGGTTAGGGTTAGGGTTATATTTAGGGTTAGGATTAATGTTAGGGTTAGGGTTAATGTTAGGGTTAATGTTAGGGTTAGGGTTAGGATTAGGGTTATAGGGTTACTGTTAGGGTTAATGTTAGGGTTAGGGTTAATGTTAGGTTTAGGGTTAGGATTAGGGTTAGATTTAGGGTTAGGGTTAATGTTAGGGTTATGGTTAGGATTAGGGTTAGGGTTAGATTTAGGGTTAGGGTTAATGTTAGGGTTAGGGTTAGGATTAGGGTTAGGGTTAGGGTTAGATTAGGATTAGGGTTAGGGTTAGGGTTAATGTCAGGTTAGGGTTAGGGTTAATGTTAGGGTTAGGGTTAGGATTAGGGTTAGATTTAGGGTTAGGGTTAATGTTAGGGTTAGGGTTAATATTAGGGTTAGGGTTAGGATTAGGGTTAGGGTTAGGGTTAGGGTTAGGGTTAGGGCTATATTTGATAAAATAATATTTGATAAAATAATATATTAATATATATAATAAAAAATATAAATTAATATATTTTATAAAATTTTAATTTTTTTATAATTGATCAAAACGACACCGCCTATATATACCGTGTGATTTACCCTTGCAGGCAATGGTGGGCGACCACGCCTCTCACGTGCTAAACACCGAAGAGGAAAAGAACGCCGCCTCCCTGAAAGCTATCTGGGACTTCCAAGTGAGCATTACGTCAGAAGTGATATAGTCTACAAGGACACTAACTACCACTCTGATAATGCTATTGATAACTAATTGAGAGCTAACGACACTATATATATTGTCGATGTTTCGTAAAATTTTGCTCCCGCATCAATATCAACTACGATCGGTACCTTTTCTTTTTATTAGTTTAAAAAAATCGATACCTTGGATTTTCATTTTATTAGTATTTTTTACAAATTAATTTCTGGCGTACAATAATCGATATCTCCATGAGTACTGCACCACGGACTAGAGAGTAATTGACAAAAAATGTGAAAATGCTTTCACTAATTTAGACTGCATGGCGTCACGAGTATACGCGGCTAAGCGTGGTGTTGCTAGCGCCTGTAAATCAATAACACGCAGCAATCATGTGTACTGCATCTCATTCGCTGACAGTAACAACTGATCACTTAACAAATACAATGATAGAAATATGCGGAGTCATTTAAATCGTTATCGAACATGCCGATGACGAAATTGTCAGGTACCGTATACCTTGTAACACATGGCTTTCAAAAGACACTATTCCTAATCTTAACTTTGATCCCAACCGTAACCCTAATCACTAAGCATTACTTTAACACTAATCCTAATCCTAACCCTAACCTTAATTCTAACCCTAACCCAAATGCCTAACCCTGATTAAACTTAATCCCAACCCCAACCCTAACCCTAAACTTAAACCTATCCCTAACCCTGACCCAAACCCTATCCTCAACATTAACCCCAACCAAACATCTAACACCAATCCTAATACCCAACCCTCACGTTAACCCTAACTCTAACCGTAACCATGGGCCTAATCCGTGTTATACATGTGATAAACAATAATTTCATTAGGTGATGCAGTGTATACGATAGCCGAATTCTCAATATATGTTACGTGCAGAGTAATATTTGTAATATTAGATAGGACAGCGTAATTGAACGAGCGTGTCTTGCTCTTGCAGGGGTACATGAAAGTGTCAGTGCTTTTCTATGGTTACTACAGCGACGACGAGGAGATAGGAAATGGTTATAGGTTGCCGATTGCCTACTTCATGACCTGTCTCGCAGTATACGCATACAGCTTTTTTGCTATACTTCGCAAGTAAGAATATCAATTAATGCTATTTACTGTTGATAATATACGCTGTGAATGCAAATGCCAAATAAATTCTGCTGGGTATCCATCTATAACTACTTATTGCGCAACCTTGCTTATGGGTTGAGCAGTTAAATTATATATCCCAGCAATGCTGACTACGTTTTTCTTGAGCACACGTACACATGTGCACATGTGGCACGTAGACGGGGATCAATAGGAGTTAGTATTGCGAAACAGTATGTACTGCATTTTAGCGCGCAACTGCAACGTAAAAACCATGGAGGTAGACGATTTTCCGACAAGAAAGCGATTACTCCGGAGCCACTTCTCGAGTTTAGCTAGTGTTACATAGGCTCTACTGATCCCTGCTGTAATCTCATAATTGATCAAGGCACTGTGCGGTATAAAGTTCCGCCAAGATCGGTGGCCATGTTAGCTAGATTTAACTTTGTGGTGATGATGTTGATGGCTTGAAGTGCGGCACCTGTGTTTGTGTTGGAAGAAGTCGCGAGAGAGAGCTCGCGCGTAGATGGGTTGGATATGTTGTAGTGCATATCATATGTTGGAGTGCTGCTCAGTTATTAACCACTAGCGGATTACGTATAAGGTCTTAGTGTCATTTTATACCACGGTGTATGCCAATATGGTTTGAATATATGTCCATCATTCTAAAGCAGATCTGCTGTTATCGAAGACCACTAAAAGCATTGCACATAAGATCAAACCGAAAAGTAAATAGGCTAATCGGACACTTTTGATCTGTACAATTTCTACTCTAAAATAGATGGGCGAAGTCGGCACTACTGTCTAGCAGAAACAGATGATGTATCACGTCAGGAGTAATGCTGTTGTAGAATTCAGTTCGGCCTTGTGTAATGCTGCAATGCTGTGCGTGTTTTGTGAGGCTCTTGTGCGGATATCTAGCAAGATTTCTTTCGGCAATATACTGTTAGAATGTGCGAGTGGGGCTATTGCAGAAAGCATAGTCACCTCTCTATTTGCAGAGATAGGTGACGATGATGACGTCCTTGTAGTTTTGGTGCGCTGACGATTTGCGCCTGATCAAGTTGAGGTGCTAGACGGGGAATTGCTAGACGTGAAAGTTGTTTAACTTCGCACGTGAACCCCTCACCTTGGATGCCATATCAGTACGAACAGACCTGTCTAACTGCGCAGTATATTGGTGGCGTAGCATGCTTCTTTTGTTAACTTGTTTATTTTTTATGAAAAATCGAGCGTTTATGTCTTCGTGGCTTGGCATCGAGAAGACTGTAGTCGATTGTCACGGGATTGCTATTAAAGGGCGATTAAGCAAGACACGGAACCGTTCGCTTCATGGGCACGAATTTCGTCATCTATGCTAAGAACTTTGAGCCATCTTCACAGCAATTTCGTGTGGCACATAATGAATTGGGCGCAAAGACTACCCGAAGACCATGACTTCCTGGTATTTTTATGTCGGTCTGTGGTTTTTGTCGTTTTCCCTATAAAAATTGCGGGGTTTTGGGCAACTTTTTGTTTTGACGTGTCCGTTACCGGCATATCTTGCTGTATGGTTGATATTGAACTCACCGTGAACAAATTGTTTTTTAATCATTGGGTTTGTACAGATTCTGTTGCTGAGCCCTTGTATAGCAATTTTCTGTTGACGTATTTGCTGCGTGAACAGCACAGGCACTGCGTGCAAGGTTAGGTGTAAGCATCCACTAACGAGGGTTGGTTTACTCGAGTTATACCGCGACTTTGATTTTTGATTTGACATTTGTCCTAGATGCACGCGTATAGATTTTTGAACAACACGCGCATCTGCCCGTGCCTATCATATACTTAGGATGCAAACTACCTTTGATAGAAATGGTGTTCAAACGTCTACTATTTAATCGTGTTTAAAACTGATATATATATATATATATATATATATATATATATATATATGCATATAGAGATATTGGCCATCTTTACATACGCTTGTGCTCCTATGTAAACACAAGTATTCCAATGTTCAATATACGCGTACACTATAGATTTATAAATGCACAATAATGAAATGTCAACTGCTAGTTCTAGTAATTTAAATTATGCATCGGGATGTCAGATCTGGCTATGAAAAAATGCTTTTGCCTCACTAATAATATCAAGTGTCATAAAAATTATTAATAAGCATTTGGATTTCAATATCTTTTAATTTTTCTGTCTGTCATCACGAAATGCTAAGTGCCATTCGTTTACGCATTATAGACTGTTTCTGTTAATCATATAACTCATGAACTATTGAGGCTAATCTGCTTATTCAACCGACCTTCTAGTGCAGGAATTTGAATGGAAATTGCGTTGAATCTATACAGAGCGTTGATTGGTCAACGATGTGTAGGCCTATATTCCCTATACTACAATATCTTGATAGGGCGGCTTCCCATTTCTGATCCAAACCAAAAAGACATTATTCAAGTAAACATTACTGTATTTATATATAATCTATGGCTTTTGCTCATAATTTTATCGGGATTATAGACAATACTTCAGTGACCGCCACTTTTATTTCGTTGAAGGAGGCTATTTTAGACTCGTTTCGTTTGCCTCGCTCAATTTTGTCAACCCCTTACATGAACGTGGCGTGAACAAACGGGCAACACAGAGCCATGTGTACATTAGATTAGCACAGGTCGAAACTAATCCACCCGCTGTTTATTCGCGATAGAATGGCAGCCAATTCTAAGATGAGCAAGATGGCTGGCAAAGACGAGCAGTTTACGTTCGGCTGGAAAGTCTTCACCAGCTGGGACTACATGATAGGCAACCCCGAGACTGGCGACAATCGAGTCGCGGCAATCTCCACGACATTAAAGGTTAAGCACGCGTAGTAGTCAGTTGTCAGTCTTAAACTCAGTCCTGCTATTCGGCCGTCAGCCGACGGTGTGAGCACGCGGTGACCGTAACATATTCAGTTCTTGTCCTTGAACGATTTGTTCTCGTATCCAAATCCGGTAATCATTTAATTACGCAATGAAAACGGCACAAATTCGGCTATAGCAAGGAATTATTTTAAAGTCGCACTGAAATAGACTGGGCATGGAAACAGCTGACATATATGACTCACGATAACGGCTGTAATAGCCATATTGGACTTAAACCGCACGTATTCTACGGATTTACGGAAAACAAATTGAAATCGAAACATTCATATTGCCGACACGATTGCAAGTTTAACATCCTTAACCCGACTCGGCGAAACCTATCACACTGTTGCAAGATAAGTGTGGTCTCTATGGATCAGGAGTCGATCATCGAAGAGAAGGAGAAGATCAAAGAGGAGCGACGATGGCTGGTCGTCCTGCTTCGCCTGCTCGCCAACACGCTCATCCTGGTGCTACTGCTGTCGAGCGGTTACGCCATCTACTGGATTGTTGAACGATCTAAGCAGTTCGAGGAACAGGATCCGGCGACGCTCAGCTTCTGGCAGCAAAACGAGGTGATAGACTGGTACCCGTCCCTTCTCACAAGCTCGATATAGGGTTTGTGCTAATCAGCTTTTAATACATATATCGAGCTTATAAGAAGAGACGGGTACCAGTCTAAACGAGGTGATCGGCTTGTTTCCTTCGCAACGTCCAGGCGTAACTCGTCGATAAACCGATATTACTCGTGATATTACTCGTGATATTACTCGTGATATTTACTCGTGATATTACTCGTGATATTTACTCGTGATATTTACTCGTGATATTTACTCGTGATATTACTTGTGATATTTATTACTCGTGATATTACTCGTGTTATTACTCGTGATATTACTCGTGATATTTACTCGTGATATTTACTCGTGATATTACTCGTGATATTACTCGTGATATTTACTCGTGATATTACTTGTGATATTTATTACTCGTGATATTACTCGTGATATTACTCGTTATATGATGCTATACCATATCCAGCTTCTTGTGGGTAACGACTTTTTAACGTTAAAATTACTATTAAAAATGATTTCTTTGGGCATATACTGATTGCACCTAATTTTGTACGGAACCCACCTAAACTGAATATTTAAAAAAAGTACATATTATCTAATTTCTCTTCTCGTTATGCATAATCTTTTGTAAATTGGAATAGATCGTGAAAATATAGAACAGATTTTACAGTAGAGATCGTAGAAGACACGAGATGTCAGCACGTGGTCCGATCTAATTTATTTCGTTTTACTTGAGTGTGTTAGTATTTCATTTCTGGCGATGTCCTTTTATATACATACGCGTGTGTTTTATGCACGAATGATGAATCTTGAATATTGCGCGTTTCTCTATAGGTGGCGATGGTCGTTTCGCTAATTACGCTCCTATTTCCAACATTGTTCGACCTCATTGGTATGATGGAGAGCCGCCATCCCCGCCAGCAGCTGAGATGGCAGCTTGCCAGGTACACTCGTCATTCCCGTCCGTAGAAAATCAGTGTGACGTCACTGCCTCCGCTGCATCATATCACGATAACAGATTTTGAGGCCAAACCCATGCAATACGCTTATGATGAGAAGGAGGGTGCGACATTTAAGCGAAGCCTAGCGTTTAGTGTTACTACGCATCGTCTATGACAAAAGATTTGGTCCATGAGCTTGTGTGTGTAAGGGGGGGGGGAAGTCCGATATATGGACTTGCCTGCAGGGAAATCAGGGGGCTATGTTCGCGTCAAAACACAAATTACCTTACATTTTTCCTGTTTGTGTTCCAGAATTTTGGTATTGTACTTATTAAACTTGTACACGCTGGTCATTGCTCTACTGAATAAGGTGCAAGCACTGGTAAGCCAACTTATACGATCTCGGCAAAAATTCATTTTAAGCACTACAACAATGTGTGCGCGCCACGTGTGACTCACGCGGTACGCAAAGACTCACTCCCTGCCTTTTTTCATTACTCGCATATAACCTGAACAATGTCGGTGCTGCGGCTATGGATATTTCGACTAACGTCAACTATCTATCAGGTGGCGAGAGCGGTTGGTTCCCACGTCTGACATGAATGCAGATATAAAACTTTGAGTGCCGCTGAATAGGCCAATGCATTTACTTAGAATTCGATCGAGAAGCGATGACGACTGAGTGTGGTCGATTGCTCCGTGCTCGCGTGTATATCGATGGCTTCGAATATGTGCCCGCGTGAATTAGAATGAGAACGTGGGTATAGAGGCACTCGCTTCGGGTTTCCATCGCGTCCCGGTATCCCATCGTCGCTAAATACATAGCGCCAATGTGATAGATGTTTTGTAAATGTTGCATGTAGCTGCGGAATTACTAGATACTACTGAATAAGCAATGCATCTAGTAATTAATACTGGTTATGCAATATGCTTCAAAAATCAGGGTTATATTTGCGAAATATTTGTATTATTGCAAACTAGCAGAGATTTCCTATATATATGCTCGCACAATATCTTTATCAGGTAAAAACCCAAGAGGAACTGCGAAAAGCCATAGATTATGTTCAGGAGAACAACTCGACCGGCACTGCTCAGAAACTGCAGGGCCAGCCAATGTCCAGCCAGACTCCCAATTGCACATCTACCAATGACTGCGTAATATTCGCGGCCACACACGAATCGACTTCCACACACATGGTAACTACTGTCCTAATTCCACCGCTCGCTAGTATTGAATTATCGTACATCTGAGAGCGTAACTGCAGCGGCATCTTTGCTCGGTGACGTCGCTACTACGGGAAACGGATGCCTACTGTTTGCTGTCACTACTGCACGCGGTGGGAAGTTTTCATATCAAGTTTCCACCGCCGCGCCGCCGAGGAATCACGTCATCACCGTAGATTCCACGAGTTACCTAGATGACGTCACTACCGATTTACAGGGTGACGTCACCGCATCGTCGTCGACGGGTTCCATCAGTGACGTCAGCGCGCCGCGCAGCTCAGCTCGCGATGGGTACACGGATTACTACACGGGCTGGCAGAGGGGAACATTGGAGACGACGGACGTCGCCGGATTCGAGTCGACAAGTGAGTACAGCATTAGCAGCTGGACTCTGTCCACTGACTTGCCTCGCAATACAAGTGATAGAGCTAACTTGCTTAATTTCTACTCGACCGTGAAGTTTAAACGTACTTCTAACGTTTCGCGTCCTAACAGGAGGCGTTTTCAAAGCTGACTGACGTTGTCAGATTTGACCACCAGATGGTGTAGTGGTCAACAGCTTGGTCCACACATGACTGACAGCATTAAAAAAGCCTCCTGTTGGGTAACGTTAGCAGTACGTTTGAACTTCCCGGTTGAGTAGAAATGAACCAAGTTAGCTCTATCATCTACCAACCGAATGAACGTATTTACAACTAGAGCACTCGAAGAGCACAGACCTCCGCCAAGGCAGCTGAATTCTGTGACTGTGAAAATTATTATTTATTAATTAATTAATTAAGTAAATAATTAATTGGATCCGGATCACCACCGAAATGTAATCAATTCTAAGTTACCCCATTTCTGACCTATCCTGAAAATTTTATTAATTAATTGGATCCGGATCACCACCGAAATGTAATCAATTCTAAGTTACCCCATTTCTGACCTATCCTGAAAATTTTGTTAATGAATGAATGAATGAATGAATGAATGAATTGGATCCGGATCACCACAAAATGTCATCAATTCCAACTTAGCCCATTTCTGACGTATCCTGAAAATTTTATGACAATCCGTCCATAACATTTTCAGTTAGGCTGTACACAAACCCACAAACCCACAAACCCACAAACCAACAAACAGTCAAACACACGCCGGTGAAAACATAACCTCCTGCCAACCCCTTGGCGGAGGTAAAAATACACGTGATTTTTATACGACAGTCGGCGCCGCGACGAACGCGACGACAGAAGGTACGGCGGCGATGTTCAGCGGTATCTATGACGTCATCACGACGACGTTGGGCAGCGTGCGCAGCGGGGTGTCCGACATGTTGACGTCGACGCAGAACACCGTCTCCGAGTTCGCCGGCGTCGTCAGCAGCATCACGAACACCGTCGTCAACATGTACAACGACACGAGCACGCCGATTGTTGACGCGATGACGTCGGCGACGGACAACGCGACGACGTCGGGCGTTGTCGGCGCCGTTGACATAACCGCCGACACTCGGTGGACGACGGACACGTACGCTTCCGTCTTCACCACCGACCTGGGCGACAACGTCAGCTATGCCATCGACCTGCTCAACTTCACCGATGTCGATATTCCAAACTATTTATATTTGAATTCGACGTCGGCGGCCGTCTCCCGGCCGTTCGCGCGCGACCTCTGTTGGGAGACGATGGTCGGACAGGTATGAACGCACTGTCGCACCGATGTGACAGATATGAGCGAGCTGTCACGTCGGTGTGACAAGTGACAGGTATGAGCGAGCTGTCGCACCGGTGTGACAGGTATGAGCGAGCTGTCACATCGGTGTGACAGGTGACAGGTATTAGCGAGCTATCACATAGATGTGGCAGGTATGAGCGAGCTGTCGCATCGGTGCGACAAGTATGAGCGAGCTGTCGCATCGGTGTGACAGGTATGATCGAGCTGTCGCATCGGTATGACAGGTATGAGCGAGCTGTCGCATCGGTGTAACAGGTATGATCGAGATGTCACATCGTGTGACAGGTATGATCGAGCTGTCGCACCGGTGTGACAGGTATGATCGAGCTGTCACATCGGTGTGACAGGTATGAGCGAGCTGTCGCACCGGTGTGGCACGGTGTGGCAGGTATGATCGAGCTGTCACATCGATGTGACAGGTATGAACGCGCTGTCGCACCGGTGTGACAGGTATGATCGACCTGTCACATCGGTGTGACAGGTATGATCGAGCTGTCGCATCGGTGTGACAGGTATGAGCGAACTGTCACATCGATGTGACAGGTATGAGCGAGCTGTCACGTCGGTGTGACAGGTGACAGGTATGAGCGAGCTGTCGCATTGGTGTGACAGGTATGAGCGAGCTGTCACATCGGTGTGACAGGTATGAGCGAGCTGTCACATCAGTGTGACAGGTATGAGCGAGCTGTCATATCGGCGTGACAAGTATGAGCGAGCTGTCACATCGATGTGACAGGTATGAGCGAGCTGTCACGTCGGTGTGACAGGTACGAGCGAGCTTTCACGTTGGTGTGGCAGGTGACAGGTATGAGCGAGCTGTCACGTCGGTGTGACAGGTATGAGCGAGTTGTCACGTTGGTGTGACAGGTGACAGGTATGAGCGAGCTGTCGCACCGGTGTGACAGGTATGAGCTAGCTGTCGCACCGGTGTGACAGGTATGAGCAAGCTATCACATAGGTGTGACAGGTATGAGCGAGCTGTCACATCGGTGTGACAGGTATGATCGAGCTGTCACATCGGTGTGACAGGTGACAGGTATGAGCGAGCTGTCGCATCGGTGTGACAGGTATGATCGAGCTGTCACGTCGGTGTGACAGGTATGAGCGAGCTGTCACATCGGTGTGACAGGTATGCACGAGCTGTCACATCGGGATGACAGGTATGCACGAGCTGTCACATCGGCGTGACAGGTATTAGCGAGCTATCACATAGGTGTGACAGGTATGAGCAAGCTGTCACATCGGTATGACAGGTATGAGCGAGCTGTCGCATCGGTGTGACAGGTATGAGCGCGCTGTCGCATCGGTGTGACAGGTATGAGCGAGCTGTCACATCGGTGTGACAGGTATGAGCGATCTGTCGCATCGGTGTGATAGGTATGAGCGAACTGTCACATCGGTGTGACAGGTATGAGCGCGCTGTCGCATCGGCGTGACAGGTAAAACGTGGCCAGTGGCTATAATGACGTTCGCGTGACTTTCGATAAACTTTCAATGAACGTAAAAAATCGTAAAGAGGCAAGCGAAATGTGCGTTCGCTGTACAGCTCCTACCAGCAGGTACGAAAGGATATTGTTTAAATTGGGCGATTCTAAGTAGACGAAATTGGTTATGAATAACAAAACTCAATGGTAGTTTAAATGGGTATTTTATGCAGCGTTTGTATGCATGCACTTGTATTTCAAACGTTTAATTATGAAAATTAAATTAAACGGTAATTGCATGCCTGCATTGAAAATTGCGTTGAAATAGTTTTAAGAGCACCAGACGATTACAATGCCAAAATATGCTTCTTAGATCTTAGTGCAACACACACACGCACCCACGTACGCACACACACACACACACACACACACACACACACACACACACACACACACACACACTATATATACTACACACACGCACGCACGCACGCACGCACCACGCACGCAGCGCAACACACACACACCACGTGCATTTCATTGCTTCTGCAGAATTAGGGATGCTATCTTCTTGTCAGGAAATCTCAAGCTACACTTGATCGACCTGTCCTTACTGTGCTCCATTATCGCCATCGACTTCCTACGTGGATCTTCGTTCGATTCTGCAATAAGTATGGTGCTGGGATCTCGAACGACAGTTTGTAAGCAGAAATGACGCGAGATCGATTAGAAATCGACGCGAACGATTCAATGTGCTAACAATAGACTGGCATTTATGAAGAATGGCGAAAGCGAATTTATAAGAGTGTAACGATACTTTGCTTCGCTACTAGAATGTCTGAGTAAATATATCAAGTATCGCAGCACGCTCAAATACAATGTTTATGTGTGTGTGAGGTCGGGTGGGGTCGGCAATTGTAAAGTGTTAGGCCAGTTATGCGCAACGCATTTCTTTGAGGGCATGTTAGGAATGTGTCTATTCATTCCGTTGAAAGTAGTTAACATTGTGACATATTTGAACACGCTAACGCACGCACGAAAACAGTAATATAATAGGAGCAACTTCTATTTTCCAGCCAGAATATGGCGAATTCAAAGTCCCTGAAAACATTCTCATCTAGTCAATAACCAGGGCATGATATGGTAAGTATGCGCTGATAACTTCAAAGCCGAGCATACTGGTACAGTGGATAATGAGTGAAATTCACAGCAACAGTTGCACATATATGTGCAGTTTTGAGAAGCGTGTGTATCGCGTTAAAGCTCAATTATTTAGTCGCGAAGTTAAATTGTTTGAGTTAATTCCTGGTTGGCCAACAGTGCGCTTGCTGTTAACGCAGGGTTATATGTCTCATGGCTAAATGACATCGCGAGTTCCACTGTAATATAATTAATAACTATTTAGTAAAACACTTACTCGCTGAGAATTACTGCTAGATGTTTATTTCAAGTGCTTATTACCTACATTGCCATATGCCATGTAACTATGCACACCATAGTAGTACAGCACACCACTTCTGTTGTAAACAGTGTGACGATCTCCTCTGCCTTACTGAAATAGTATTTGGCGGGCATCGATTTGTCGTCAAGTCACTGTCTAAACTTTCAACTCGTTCCACTTGACGCGCGCAAAATAACACCGAGTTCCGGAAGCGTATTCACGCAGGATGGGGATGTTCTTCTCGCCGCGTGCGCTGCCTCAACACTGTGAAGCGCTCTCAGCATCATGTACATCCGCAGCTGGGCTGTGCTCCGCTGCAACGTGCGCACGAGCGCGTCTTCCGCGCGTCGCGCTCCACAACTTCTACTTCGCGTGTTGCTGACGATGCTGTTCCTGTGCGTACTGCCTGTGCGGCTACTCGGTCGTGTGGCTAGAGCCGTCCTACAGCTGCGTCCGTTAGGTAACTTGTCATCTTTTGCTCATTTGTTTATATCTTTCTCCTCATCTATGTATTATGTATGTATGTATATGTATATGTATGTATGTAGTATGTATGTATGGTATGTATGTATGTATATGTTGTATTTATGTATGTTGATGTATGTTGTATGTATTATGTTTATGTATGTAGTATGTATGTATGTATGTATGTTATGTATGTATGTATGTATGTATGTATTATGTATGTATGTATGTATGTATGTTCTATGTAGTAGTATTATGTATGTATTTATTAATGTTGTATATATGATGTATGTATGTATGTATGTATGTATGTATGTATGTATGTATATGTATGTATGATATGTATGTATGTATTGTATGTAGTATTGTATGTATGTATGATATGAGTTGTATGGTATGTTATGTATGATGTAGTGTATGTATTATGGATATGTATGTATGTAGTATGTATTTTATGTATGTATTTGTATGTATGTATGCTATGTATGTATGTTATGTATGTATGTATGTATTACATATTATGTATGTATGTTATGTATGTTTATGTTGTTATGTATGTATGGTATGTATGTATGTATGTTGATGTATGTAGTTGTATGTATGTATGTAGTATGTATGTATGTATTATGTATGTATGGATGTTGTATTGTATGATATGTATTAGTGTATGTATGTATTATGTATGTAGTATGTATTATGTATTGTATGATGTATGTATGTATGTATGTATGTATGTATGTGTATGTATGTGATTAGGTATTAGTATGATATGATTAATGTATGCTATGTAGTATTATGTATGTATTATGTTGTATGTATGTATGTATGTAATGTATGTATGTATGTAGTATGTATGTATGTGATGTATGTATGTTATGTATGTATGTAGTATGTATGTATTTTATTTTATGTATGTATGTATGTAATGTATGTATAGTAAGATATTGTTAGTATGTATGTATGTATTTATAGTATGTATGTATGTATGTATGTAGTATGCGTATGTATGTATGTATGTATGTATGTATGTATATGTACTGTGTATGTATGTATGATGTATAGTATTATTTGTATGTATTAGTACTTAATGTATGTATGTATGTATGTATGATATGTATGTATGTATGTATGTATGTATATGATGTTATTATGTATGTATAGTATGTAGTTATGTAGTAATTATGTATGTATTATTATGTCTGTATGTATGTATGAGTATGTATGTATGTATGGTATGTATTTATGTATGTATGTATGTGATGATATTGTATTACTGTAGTATTCAGTATGTATGTATGTATGTATGTATGTAGTTTATGTATGTATGATATGTATAGTATGTATTATGTATGTATGTATGGTTGTGCTATGTATGTATGATAGTATGTAATTATGTATGTAGTAGGTATGTATGTATTATGTATGTATTGTAATTAGTACTGTATGATGTATGTAGTATGTTATATTAGTATGCTATGTATGTAGTTATGATCTTAGTATAGTATGTATGCTAGTATTATATGTATGTATATTTGTATGTATGTATGTATGTATGTATGTTATGTATTTATGTATGTATTATGTATTATGTATGTATGTATGTATGTAGTATGTATTATGTAAGTAGTATTAGTCAATTTGTATTATTGTATTAGATTTACTTAGTTATTATTATTATGCTATTTATTATTATGTATGTATGTATGTATGTATGTATTTGTAGTGTATTGTATGTATTATGTATGTTGATTATGTATGTATCGTATGTATTATGTAGATGAAGGAGTACGCTTATACTACTTACTGATCCATACCATCCATCGGGCGCGCTGCGCCGCCGTGTGAATTGTGTGTGTGTGGTGTGTGTGTGTTGTGGCTGTTGTTGTGTGTGGTGTGCTGTGTGAGTTGTGCGTGTGTGTGTGTGTGTGTGTTGTGTGTGTGTGTGTGTGTGTGTGTGTGTGAGTTATGATGTTGCGTAGCCTGGGCAACACAATAAGTAATTGAGTAGGTATCGTCTCACTACACACACAGTTCGCGCGAGTTTTCAAAGATGAGGTTCAGAACAGTGCGTCTCTCGTCAATATAACTATAATTTATATACTATTAATGCGTATAATGTTTAAACCAGGTGCGTAAGTAGGCACGTATATTTCTTAACAAGCTGCAAAGCTCGCATCTAATGAACATAGCTTATTAATATTATGATGTATTTACCTATGCTTCATCATTGTCCGGTACTTTTACTTAGTATATATATATCGACCATCCACAGTTAGAATAACGCACAGGCTGCTGCATTCGCACTGTTGTTTTTTTTTATCTCTTAAAAGTGATAAGTGAGAAACGATACTTACCAATCCTTAACGAAGAAGCAGAGAGAATTTTCCTGCCTGGCTCAACACCGTACTGGAATAGTCGCACTACAGCGTTGTACCCACTGCTTCATTTTTATTCGATGCTAAGACTGATGTACAGATTTATATTAAATACACCTATCATAGTAACCTTTAAATATTTGTGAACAATTAATTATTTGTATAAATAATCACATATATAAATTATCACTCTGTCTGCCGAAATCTCCTTCCGCCCCCCCTCTCTCTTTCAATCTCTCTGCTTCTCTCTCTCTCTTCTCTTCTCTCTCTATATATATATATATATATATATCACGCTTCCGTAATCACTCTTTCTTTCTCAATCTCTCTCTCTCTCTCTCTCTCTCTCTCTCTCTCTCTCTTTCTTCTCGTTCTTTCACTCTCTCTCTCGCACTCTTTCTTTCTCTCTCGCTCTCTCTCTCTCTTTCTTCTCGTTCTTTCACTCTCTCTCTCGCACTCTTTCTCTCTCTCTCTCTCTCTCTCCCTCTCTCTCTCTCTCTTGCTGCCATCTTCCCACAGGCTTGTACCAAATGCCTAATCGCACACCGAGGCACTATCTCGATTACGACTCGTCTGTGAATCATTGCCTGTCTTGGCTAAAGGTCCATTGGCAACATTTTTATTTAACCTGACTTTCACATTTCTCTTATCCACGACAGCCTGGGTATCTATTACCTCGTGTCGCTTACGAAATCGCTAAAGGAAGCCAACAGCGACTTGAAGGTGCAGCTTCGCTACGTAAGTATACACGGCATTGCACAATCACATTCATTCTTTCGTGTACTTTCTCTGTCCGCCTGTCTCTCTCCTCGCTCTCTCTTTCTCTCTCTCTCACGGGCGTTTAACGAGTCTTTTCCTATCGCGTTACGATTGAGGGACAGCAGTAACGGCGTATGATCGACATTTATTTCATCTAGACTTAATTGACGTAGTCATAGACTTACTATTAATAAAACCGCTACCGCATATATACATACAGACGATTGTAGCCTACACACAAGCCGACGCATGCAATACGAATTTGCAGAATATCTTGCATTTATGAATTTCAGACTTAAACACGGAAATGAAACGTAGTGACAATTTAGATCGAATTAGTATATGTCAAACTAAAACAACTTCGGAACTAGCCGCGAATCGTGCTACGCCAGATACTAGCACCCCACGATAAGTTAATTTGAACCACGTGTAATGTTTCTAATTGCGTCATATTCGCATTCATCTATGGCTAAAAAGGCATACACTTTTGCTGTAACGAAAAAGGTCGAAGCGAAGGTCTAAATAGGCTGTTCATAGATGGCTTAGGCGAAAAGGGTTAAGTGGTTATTTGTCACGTAAAGTACATTCGGACGTTTACTCAAGGCTTCAGAGACTAAAGGAATCGAGTCTTAAATTACTCAAGGCTTTTCTGAAATTCGTAGATTAGTAGAGGAATGCCTTATTAGTATTTGCGTCACGTTACGTCTCTTGTCGTCATCACGTGTTAAATGCAGACGATACTTTAAGCAGCTGCCCCGTCATGGCATGCGATATTAGAAACTTATAGATTCCACGATTTTACTGTATAGGATTAATTAACATTCAACTAATTGATTCGCGTCTCATTGCAGGAAAGAACAGAAGAGAAGAAAAGGGTTTACGCTATGGCGGATGGTTCGTCATTTTCATATTGAAATCTTCCCAACATAACTCTGAATATATTATACCGCGTTGACATATAGTTGCTGGACACATACTAAGTTAGCACATAGTTAATTATGACATATTGGATCCGAGCACATACGATTCATGCATTATATATGGTTATATAATATTATAATGGTAGATAATCTGACGACACATTAACCTGCAACGCAGTACGTTTTCACGTTATATGATGAAACATTGTGCAATATATTACATTGTGGCGTGTATAGCTGGCACCTAACAACGCACGAATATTTTCACGCAGTTTAATCACTACAGAATTAATTATAAGAAGACGTTTAGAAGTTACAATATAATTAATTACGTACATTGTTTACAGTGTGTAAAGCAGCGGTTCTTAACCTTGGGGTCGTGACCCCCATAGTGGTCGTTTGGGGGTTTTCCGGGGGTCATCAAGGGGTCACAAATAAAACAAATCCATTTAAATCCTATATAATTATCAGGGTGCTAAAAAAAATTCCCCTCACTTGACCGGTCGGGCAAGTGACTCATAAATGTGGTTACCCACAAGTCCAAAGCACTTGCCCGAAATTTATTTTGATTGCCTGATGGCTGCGAAGCAACTTCAGCCATCCCATTGACTGAGTATTGGCAGAAATGTTTTCATAAATTGGGCTGGGTTTCGGCTTGGTACTGACCAAGAATGACTGATAGGGTCGTGGGGCCAAAAAGGTTAAGAACCACTGGTGTAAAGCAACGTCGCAGAGAGATAAAAATAGGCTTTTAGGAGCTCTACCCCCCCCCTACGCGCACACACACACACACACGTGCATTTCATTAGCTTCTGCAGAATTATGGGATGCTATCTTCTTTGTCAGGAAATCCTCAAGCTAACTCTGATCGACCTGGTCCTTACTGTCGCCTCCATTATCGCCATCGACTTCCTACGTGGACTCTTCGTTCGATTCTGCAATAAGTACTGGTGCTGGGATCTCGAACGACAGTTTGTAAGCAGAAATCGACCGAGATCGATTAGAAATCGACGCGAACGAGTTCAATGTGCTAACAAGTAGACTGGCCATTTTTATGAAGAATGGCGAAAGCGAATTTATAAGAGTGGTAACGATACTTTGCTTCGCTACTAGAATGTCTGAGTAAATATATCAAGTATCGCAGCACGCTCAAATCAATGTTATGTGTGTGTGGGAGGTCGGGTGGGGGTCGGCAATTGTAAAGTGTTAGGCCAGTTATGCGCAACGCATTTCTTTGAGGGCCATGTTAGGAATGTGTCTTATTCATTCCGTTGAAAGTAGTTAACATGTGAACATATTTGAACACGCTAACGCACGCACGAAAACAGTAATATAATAGGAGCAACTTCTATTTTCCAGCCAGAATATGGCGAATTCAAAGTCGCTGAAAACATTCTCCATCTAGTCAATAACCAGGGCATGATATGGTAAGTATGCGCTGATAAACTTCAAAGCCGATGCATACTGGTTACAGTGGGATAATGAGTGAAATTCAACAGCAACAGTTGCACATATATGTGCAGTTATTGGGAAGCGTGTGTATCGCGTTAAAGCTCAATTATTTAGTGCGGAAGTTAAATTGTTTTGAGTTAATTCCTGGTTGGCCAACAGTGCGCTTGCTGGTTAACGCAGGGTTATATGTCTCATCGCTAAATGACATCGCGAGTTCCACTGTAATATAATTAATAAAACTATTTAGTAAAACACTTACTCGCTGAGCATTACTGCTAGATGTTTATTTCAAGTGCTTATTACCTACATTGCCATATGCCATGTACATATGCACACCATAGTAGTACAGCACACCACTTCTGTTGTAAACAGTGTGACGATCTCCTCTGCCTTACTGAAATAGTATTTGGGCGGGCATCGATTTGTCGTCAAGTCACTGTCTTAAACTTTCAACTCGTTCCACGTTGACCGCGCGCAAAATAACACCGAGTTTCCGGAACGTATTCACGCAGGATGGGGATGTTCTTCTCGCCCGTGCTGCCTGCCATCAACACTGTGAAGCTGCTCAGCATCATGTACATCCGCAGCTGGGCTGTGCTCACGTGCAACGTGCCGCACGAGCGCGTCTTCCGCGCGTCGCGCTCCAACAACTTCTACTTCGCGTTGTTGCTGACGATGCTGTTCCTGTGCGTACTGCCTGTCGGCTACTCGGTCGTGTGGCTAGAGCCGTCCTACAGCTGCGGTCCGTTTAGGTAACTTGTCATCTTTTGCTCATTTGGTTTATTATCTTTCTCCTCATCTATGTATGTATGTATGTATGTATGTATGTATGTATGTATGTATGTATGTATGTATGTATGTATGTATGTATGTATGTATGTATGTATGTATGTATGTATAGAACACACGAACGAAAACTGACACCCACGGACTATCTATAAACGGACAGCCCAGATAAAACGTTATATCCTTACCTTGTCATTTTACCTTATCACGAGCGTCCGTGTTTATTACGTTCATGCAGTATCTCTGCGCACTGGGAGATCATCTCCAGCTATTACCGTTGCAATACCAGCTATTGCCAGCTCTTGCTGATAGCACGCTGCCGCTCGCTGCCGCTCAGCTGGCACGCTAGCGATAGTACAGTGCCGTAACTGTATACGTAAACGCTAGCTCTGATTGTAATGAACGTGGAGTCCACGTACGAATCACGGGCGCTCGTGATAATGAAGTAGGCTGTGTTTGGGGCCAACACTATGGCGGACTAACCACGGCCACAGACTAAACATGGAAAGCAGACGGCACTACGCGCATTTACGTATATTGGTCAAACGAATACACCTGTGTTCGAAATTGAAAACATGTGGGTACCTGTTCATTAGTATCCACGGATATTTACTTGTGATACACCCAGAGATACATTCTACTAGCTCATTAGTCGTAATAAGCATCCCGGGACAAACAATTCTCTGCTAAACACCCGTAGCAACATGCGACGTCACCGAACCGAAATCGAGGCTATATTGCTTAGCAAGCAATTTAGCGTTGGCGCCAGATTACCAGATTTACGGATTTCAATTCGATATTTCTTAGTAACTAGCAGTGATATTGGACAAACTAATACGCGTTTGGCTATAAGGTAATGTACTTATTAACTACACAAGGTGCCAGTTACTCTAGTATTCGTTAAAATTGCATAATCAATGGACCTATTATGCCTTTAAGGCCAAGACACACTGCAGCGACAACGACAGACCGTAACGACAAACGACTTTTCAGAAAATTTGAAACTATTGTTTCCTATGAGCCATTGCACACACACGCGACAACGACCAGCGACAACCTTGACGACAAAAATATTTAGAAACGTTTCTATTTTCCAGCGACAGTCGCCCGCGACAATTTACAAACAACCAATCGCAGCCGTTTCCATCGGCACGTACATCGGTACGATAAGCAACAGCAGGAGTTTTTGCCGTTTGTTCATGTGATGATGTGTGGCGAGTGCTGGGTGAACGTTGACCTAATGTCAGTCGCTGTCGCTGTAATGTGTTTGCTCCAGTCGCCGCGACTTTTGTCGTTTGTCGTTACGGTCGGTCGCTGTCGCTGCAGTGTGTCTTGACCTTTACACGTGCGTGCGTGCGTGCGTGCGTGCGTGCGTGTGCATGTACACGTTCGTGCGTGCGTGCGTAAATACGTGGCAGAGATATCACGGGTTGCGCAGTTGCGTGTTATGTTCGTTTTATGCATACACATTCATGAATAATTACATTACACGTGTACTGTGCACATCCTTAGACGGCGGTCATCTATAACTACGATTAATGAGTCGCTATCGCTCTGTAGCAAAGAAGGACATGGAATCGTCGATGAGTGTATTGGATCTTGTCGCCAAGATAGACCACAGACGGCATCCATCCAGTGACAGCTCAAAGCTACACAGCGTTGTCGAGCATAGACCGGTACCGCAATTGACAGGCAAACACCAGCAGAGCAGGACCGTCAAGACGACGTGTACGCGACGTAGTCCTCATTCACAACTATGTTGTTTCTTTATAGATTGCTTCTCTTTCACATTTGTGAAACTCTCATAATGAATAATGATTAAGGTATAATAAATGTAATACATGTTGGCGCACGCTATTGCTTGTTCCGACACACAGTCGCGTTATGGATTCAGATATCTCTTAGTCTTCTTCCTGCTCAAATTAATAGCTTGCAGTGTACAAGAAAGTCAACCAACATATACAGGTATGTATTGCGCGTGTTATTTCAGTGTCAGTGCCAAGCATGACCAATCATATCCAGGGCGGCACACCTAGGAAGAAATACATGACGGAGCCGTATTTATGTATGAGCATGTCGCAGGATCGCGGCGGAGCGCAGACGCCAGGTATTGAAGCGCTGCGCAGAACTCACTCGCCGTCGCCGTCGCCATCGCCGCATCACAGACGCCACAGGGCCGTCGCGCGGAGGTCAACAGACGCCGACGATGTATCGCCGAGACGTACGACGCAAACGCCTCCTCTCAACGAATGCGCACAGCTTCCGCGATCGGCGTCGCCGACGAGGCGGTCAGCAACCATGCCGGCACGCAGTGGAAGGACGGATGTGATGACGTCGACGTTTCCGTGCGCCGAAGTGCCGCTGGAGACGGACGTTCTAGTTCCGGTGGCGCAGCGGGCGTGCGAGAAACAAGCTCTGCACCCCCAGGTGGCGCCAACGGCGACAATGGAGGATAGCGACCTTGGCAGCGACACGCCAACGCCCGTCTTCACGCCTGACATGCGTGACCCACTTAAAAAATTAACTTCAAAACCCACCGAGCCGGCTATAGGGTACGTAACCGAGTGTCAATATGGCAGGGCATACATTATTTAGAAAGGATTTAAACTCGATCATCTATATCGCCTTAATGATTATCGAGATCAGCCATCATCTCATGTATTTACAGTTATTTCGCTATTTCACATTGTAAGTTATTTTCTTGTTTTTCTGATAAACATTAGCAAGGAAGCCGTGGATTTCGTATATCGGATTTCTGTATGCTGCTCGCGCGCGTCAATAATGTCTTCTACGTGCCGCTTTTTGTTTATACAGCGATCCACTACAAGATCACCATGGCAACGCGTCGGCTTCAGACGTCCATCGGCCTGTGATTCCGGAATTCCTCGTCTCTCCTTCTGCCAACAAGGAACCTGCGTTACCGCATGCAGCGCCGCCAGCGAAGGAAAAGCCACTTTTTCAGGTTCATCCTGTCGAACCGATGCGCCCAACAATATCCGCGTACCATCCTGATCCACAGATATCTGATATAAAAGAGCTCTCCCCCGACACAGAATATTCTACTAATATAGTCGAGCCATCGCTAGGCGTGGACACACAGGTAGAGCAAGCGCAATCAATGGCTCAGCGACCAGTAACGCCATCTGCTAGAAGCCCCAGCAAAGCAGAAGAACCGACGATGACGATTAAAAAACCATTAACGCCATTAATTAGCAGAATCACGAAAGTTGACCAACCGGTAACAAGTGTTCCAAGACCTGTAACACCTTCCCTTAACAACGTATCCAAGTTAGAACAATTACTTGTCCCTACGGTTCAGAAAGTAGTGCCGCCATCTCCCACCAGGGTCAACAAGATAGAGAAACCTGCAGCTGCGGCACAAAACCCAGTGACACCATCCACATACAGGACGACAAAGAAGGAACCACTGCGTGCAATTGAAATACCAGTATCGCCATTTTCTAGCAAACGCAGGCAGGAAAAGGGGCAGTTTCCTCAACTTACAATCATGCTGATGCGACCAAAACCCGACGCAGAGAAAGCGCCGACCAAAGAGTCAGTTCGAGGAGCAAGTAGCACTAAACATACGGCAGAGAGCGCGCCCAAGTCAACAGCGCAGAGTGAGCGACAGAACGTGGCGGCGATGACGATACCAAAATTCCCTGTTGCTAGGCAGTCTTCGAAGCCACCTTCGGCAAACGCCAAAGCAGTAGCAGCGCCTGAACCGTCGGCACCATCGGCGGAGAACGACGCATTACTCCCACCGGTCACTTCTCACGCTAAGCTTCCTAAATCAGCCAGCGCGTATGCAGCCCTCGGTGACGTCACTACAAAGACAGGTGACGTCACCCCCAAGACCGGTGACGTCACCGCGGCGGTGCCCAGCAGAGGCTTCGGCGACGACATCTCGTTCATCGACGATGAGGACGCCGATAGTGACGACGACACGCTCAGCGTTTACGAGAATGTACGCTACGTGCGCGCCCCTAGCGGACAGATGGTGCTCTCGTCGCCGATACTGTTCGCCAAGGGTCCTACACACGGCATTGTCACCGGCTCGCCGACAGCGACGCATAAACGTCCTGCAGCCTCTGCTGACAGTAATGACCGAAGCGACATTGGCGACAGCAGTCACGCCGGCGCTGGCTCCGATGACGACACTCGCAGGGAAGTTTTCAGCGGAGACCCCGGCCGAGATTTAGTCATCTTCAAGAACAAAAGGTGAAGTTTTTGCGGGAGTCACGTTACGTCGTTTGATCTGGTGGTATTGCCCGGACGTGACCTGCCTTGTGGCCACCGTACACAATAATCGTTAATAATGTTGAAAACCAGTGTGTTTTTACTGTATGTTTCCTAATACCAACACTCTCTTGTGAAATTGGTTAATATCATATTGGCTATTTTAAAATCGAACTTTTAATTGGTTGAGACTTTGCGCAGAATTTGCAATAAAAGGTAGAAATTCATTACTTTTAATACAATTTTGCATAAATAAAGTGTTAATTTTCGTACGCTTACTGCAGCAATTTATTTTGCAGCTACAAAGATCCGACGGGTCAAGAGATGGATGCTATATGAACCTCGTTTATTCCGTGTTTTAAATATTTATTTCAGATAATTATATTAATAAACGAGTAAATAACAGTATAGCAACACGTAAGTACGCACACACGCACGCGCAGCATAACACTTATACTAATAATACTATTACTACTACTGTATTAATAATAATAATAATGTTATTATTATTAATAATAAACACAATGATTTGATTGATAATTAGTTAGAGGTGACGTTTATAATTACACAAAATCATCCTTGCGACCCATCGCTGCAGGAAGTACTATAGTAGAATCCAAGAGTGGTATACAGTCCTGTCGGATTGAGTAATTCCAACTATTTGCACAGACCAGTTGTATTCATGATTACCTTGACAATATTATTATTTGCTGTATTCATGACGTACCTGGATGATTAGAGGGATGATTAGTGATGAAGACGGAAAAGTTAGTTAACTTCCAATGTTCAAAGCTAACATTCATTCGGTCTTCAATGTCGTCAACGGGACAACGGAACAGTATACTATTGGGACGTAGCAAAAGAATCATAAGCGTATCAATCCGCGCGCACGCGCGTGTGTGTGTACATTTATACATTGCACGTACACGTGCGTGCGTTCGTCCGCAAGTACACGTCCGTGCGTGCGCGTGCACGTACACGTGCGTGCGTGCGTGCCTGCGTGCGTATGCACGTACACGTGCGGGCGTGCGTACGCACGTACATGTGCGTGCGTGCGTGTGCAGGTACACGAGCGTGCGTGCGTGTGCACGTACACGTGCGTGCGTGCGTGCGTGCGTGCGTGTGCACGTACACGTGCGTGCTTGAGTGCGTGTCCACGTACACCACGTGCGTGCATGCGTGCGTGTGCAAGTACACGTGCGTGCGTGCGTGCGTGCGCGGGTATGCACGTACACGTGCGTGCGTTCGTGCGCAAGTACACGTCCGTGCGTGCGTGTGCACGTACACGTGCGTGCGTGCGTGCCTGCGTGCGTATGCACGTACACGTGCGGGCGTGCGTACGCACGTACATGTGTGTGCGTGCGTGTGCAGGTACACGAGCGTGCGTGCGTGTGCACGTACACGTGCGTGCTTGAGTGCGTGTCCACGTACACCACGTGCGTGCATGCGTGCGTGTGCAAGTACACGTGCGTGTGTGCGTGCATGTGCACGTACACGTGCGTGCGTGCGTGTGCAAGTACACGTGCGTGCGTGCATGCGTGTGCATGTACACCTGCGTGCGTGCGTGTGCACTTGTGAGTGCGTGCGTGCGTGTGCACTTGTGAGTGCGTGCGTGCGTGCGTGCGTGCGTGTGCACCTGCATTGACGACATGTTTTGACGACAGCCTGCTTTTACATCGGTCACCAGGGCCGTAGCTAGCTCATTTTGCCTGGGGGCAATGCCACGCGCGGTTTGTAATTTGGGCATTGACCTTAATTGTTTACCGTTGGTAATTGATCATGTATTAGTATCACAAACCCCCAAATGTGTGTGATTTAATTTTGGTAAAAGTACATACACATGGGGTACCTAGCTGCCCCTGGTGTTGTCACTTGTTATACATTTGTATTATTTCACTGACAGTGAGGAGCTTGCAAGCTCATGTTGATATATAACGTTTTCACTGTACGCGTCTTTAAATAAATAAATAAATAAATAAATAATGGTCTACTTCAATTACTATTTAGCTCTTATATTTATTTTTTCAAATCTTGCGGCCGAATTCAGTAATAGATGGTAAAAGCGCCAACAATAGAAAGTATATACATTCACACCATATGAACCACTGAGTTGTATATAACAACATTTATTATATACAGCTCAGTGGGTCTGAACCTTTTCCAATAAATGGGTGGTGGTGTTGTGGTGGAGTTGGCTATGGTGGCTGGCAGGAGTGCACCAGAATATGCAAATATATAACACTGATGCACAATATCGTTACTAAATACGCATATCCAACACAGCGTAACATACGAGAAACGAAAATGTGCCCTAACAATAATTGCGTTTTATGCTCATTTTCAAGAAAATATTCCATTGGAAAGAGTAAGATAAAAACGACATATGCATCAACATTCCTTTATTGTTTTTTGCTGAATATTTGCACATGAATACATACAAATTTACACATCTTTAATAGATCATCAAACAGTGATTCCTAAAAACGTTTTTTATTTTTATTTTCCTTGGAAATATTACCAATGAAAACTACATGCGTCAACAATCTATTGCTTACAATGAATACGATGAAATAACAATGAATTACAATGAATTACTATGAAACAATAGCTTCCGTATCTCGGTCTTCTCTATGATGGAATACAACCTGCTACATCATCTTTATTTCAATTGACTCTTGACATAACCAGGTGTATCAATTAAGTTAGCGATTAACTGTGCAATATAATCTCTTGCCCGTCAATCGCTTTCCTCCTTTAAATTAACTCATTACTGTTTAAACTTCTTTACTTCATCAATCTCTTCCTCAGTTGTGGCACTCTGCTTCTGCACAAGATGCTCATGACCGCGGGATACCCCCCAGTTACTGGGTTTGGACATGGCAGAAGCGTATGGCCGCCCGGAAGCTGGTTCAAGATTCTGCCAGTAGTCCTTGCTCGCTCTAGAAAACAACAACAGAATCGCATATATAAACAAATTTTACAATGTCTGCACCTTGGTCATATCTTCTCTAAATAAATTCGCTCAAAACACGCCTCCTAGAATGCAATCAATTGCAGTTGATGCCCAAGACTGAAGCCAAGTGATGAATCACCACTACTGAATCGTTGCAGCACCTTACCTGGCCCGGACCCATGGTTTTGTATGCATCTTCAGCCCCCCGGCACATATGTCATGTTTCTCCGATGCTGCTGGCATTTTCCCACGCTCAGTGGCCAGCTCCTCAGCGAGGGCTCGGATGTGATAGGGTTCGAAGCCACAGCAACCGCCGATGTATCGGACACCAAGATCGTAGGCCTCTCGAGCAAACCGATGCATGTCCCAGCGTGTCAGGATTCGTGGCTCCAGAGCTGATTGAATGAAACGAGATATAGCAAAGCACACGAGTTAACAATGATCAAGAGTCGCTGAAATGCATCCTACCTACTCTACATGCAATCAATGTGCTCTTCTATAGGCACTGTGGAAATTTCAACATCTTCTTGAAAGCTATAGAAGTAGTATCACTGTTCATTGTCATAAATAAGTGATATCGGAAAGTCCAGCTGTTATTTAGGTCATAGAAAAGGGGGGTATAAAATGGCCGAGGCGCGCTTAGGAAAGTACATGATTAATGTAAACACTCGTGCGTTTTTAGTTTTGCATTAACTCAAACATTGCAAAATATCCCAAATTACCACAATCATAATTATTTGTAAATGTTTCTGTAGTGTGTTCTGTGTTCTGTGTTCACGTTAGTGTAGAGAATTATAGATAAAAAACCTAGTACCACTAGTACTATCATATATATAGTAACTAGAGCACTCGGAGAGCACAGACCTCCGCCAAAGCAGCTGAATTCTGTCACTGTGAAATTTTTTTATTAATTAATTAATTAATTAATAATATTGTATGACATTTGAATGAATAGTTATGGTTAATTGGCAATTATTAAAAAAAATGGCCGTGATGGCCATTTTGAAATTCAAAATGGAGGCCCTAAATGTTAATGGAAAAACTGGCACCCATTTTTTTCTTAATCAGTGAAGTTTCTAGATGTGTTTAGACATGAGTGCCAAGAATCTACCCAAAAAAATGACAAATCTGGAAAATATTACATAAGCCCATAGACTAAGCAGGCGGGCTTCCACCCCGTGAGTTTGTTCGTCATCTGTAATAACATTAACTTTATCTACGCAATTTTATTTCTTAAATCGAGATATCGGCTCTAGAGGATGCATGTCGGCAATGAGTAATATTTTCCTGCAGTGCTGAAAGATTATTAACACGGTTAGCCAATCGTAAAAATGATATCGAGCTGTGCAAGCCAGGTGCGTGAACTTGATGGGCAACGAGTAACTTGAACAGTGCGAGCGTCGAACGGAAGAATATAGACGTGCATAAGTAATGTCGGTAGATATGCGTTAAGGTTGTGCAAAGTGTTAAAGTTACTTACGTTATGTAAGAAAAAGAAGAAGAAGAAGAAGAAGAAGAAAAAGAAGAAAAAGAAGAAGAAGAAGAAGAAGAAGAAGAAGAAGAAAAAGGAGAAGAAGAAGAAGGAGAAGATGAAGAAGAAGAAGAAGAAGAAGAAGAAGAAGAAGAAGAAGAAGAAGAAGAAGAAGAAGAAGAAGAAGAAGAAGAAGATGAAGAAGAAGAAGAAGAAGAAGAAGAAGAAGAAGAAGAAGACGAAGAAGAAGGAGGGAAAGATGCAGAAAAAGACGGAGAAGGAAGAGTAGTAGAAGAAGGCAAGAAGTCCATCTTAGTTAATATATAGTTATACTGCATAGTGCATGTGCACGGTTGCCATTGTTATTATTTTAGTTATTTGACGTGAATATACACAGTACTGTTTGCGTTCTGGATTTGGTGTACATCAGCAGCGTGGTATAATCGCAATTAAACAAGCGCACGCACCTGCGTTGATATCTTTCTTTAGATGATTTTTTTTAGATGAATGCTGTCGAGAGGGCGACGCACACGGCCTGGGTTTGTTCTCGCGGTGCACCCCAGTGTTCAATTACGAAGACCGGCACAAAAGGCAGTCGGAGCATGCACCCAGCTGTGCGGAATCCACGCTTACGTCACGCGCGATTGTGTTACACGTGATAACAGATACATTACTGGCTGCTTTTGTAATGGTGCGAGGTTAAAACAATGAGGGGCGCGCCCGTCAACCAATCCCCGAAACGCTATCCAAAATAATGCGTTATTTAAAATAGAAAATCGATTAGTGCGATCGATGATCCATGACTCAATTTTGTGACAATGAGCCAGTCCGTAGTTACAGTCTGCGTATGCGCGAACTTAGCCACGAATTCTTCCGGGTCAGGTCATTTGTGACAAAATATTTCGTATTTCGACCGTACGGTACACATACACATGCATCTGTGTCGTTGTAATGCTACAGTCTTCGCGTGTGCACGTACACGTGCGTGCGTGCGTGTGCAGGTACACGTTCGTGCGTGCGTGTGTGCGTGCGTGCGTGCGTGCGTGCGTACCTGTGCACGTACCCGTGCGCGCGTGCGTGCGTGCGTGCGTGTGCACGTACATGTGCGTGCGTGCGTGTACACGTACCCGTGCGTGTGTGCGTGCGTGTACACGTACACGTGCGTGCGTGCGTGCGTGCGTGCGATCGTGTGCATGTACATGTCCGTGTGTGCGTACGTGTGCACGTACACGTGCGTGCGTGCGTGTGTACCTACACGTGCGTGCGTGCCTCCGTGCGTCCGTGCGTGTGCACGTACACGTGCGTGCGTGCGTACGTGTCAACGTACACGTGCGTGCGTGCTTACGTGTCTACGTACACGTACGTGCGTGTGCACGTACACGTGCGTTCGTGCATGCGTGCGTACACACGTACACGTACGTGCGTGCGTGCGTGCGTGCGTGTGAACGTACACGTGCGTGCGTGCGTGCGTGTGCACGTACACGTGCGTACGTGTGTGTGCACGTACACGTGCGTGCGTGCGTGCATGCGTGTGCATGTACCGCGTAGTTAGTTTTTGAAATCAATTATCACTGCTAGTATTACTAACGTAAATTTCGATATGAAATATATACCGTAGTGCCAAAAATCGGTATTGTCCACACCTTTCAAAAAGTGCCGCGAACAGCGGGTGTGATTACAGATTTATAGTGCACCTCCGGACTATTTTTCCCGCACCGCATACTCTGCCCGTACGTCAAAATGCGCTAAGTCCGTTCAGTAGATTCGAGATTCCACTTAATTGTGGTCTAATTGTGGATTGTGGTTGATGTGGTCTTAATCTGTGGTGGGTTTATATTTGTGGTGGTTTATTACACTACCGAAATGGGCAAACACGTAAATATATGTGCAGCGCACACTACGACCACGAGAACTGACTACCCAAGCACGGCATGCTATAAACGGACAGGCCCAGATAAAACGTTATATTCCTTACCATGTCATTTTCCCCTATCACGAGCAAGTCCGTGTTTATTAAGGCGTTCAATGCAGTATCTCTGCGCCACTAGGGCAGAATCATTACCACTAGTTACCGTTGCGCAACTACACGCTAATACAATGCCAGCTCTAATGCGGAAGCACCTGCCGCTCGCTGCCGCTCAGCTGGCACTGCCTAGCCGGGGAAAATAGGTAAGTGCCGTATACTGTATACGTAAAACGCTAAGCTGATATGTAATGAACGTGAGGAGTCCACGTATCGAATCACGGGCGCTGTGATAATGAAGTACTGGTTGGGGGCCAACACTAATGGCGACTAACGCACGGCCACAGATCAAACATGGAAAGCAGAACGCACTAACGCGCATTTACGTATAATTTCAAACGAAACACCTGGCTTCGAAATTGAAAACATGTGGGTACCTGTCATTAGTAATCCACGGAATTTACTTGTGATACACCCCAAATTACATTCTACTAGCTCATTAGTCTAATAAGCATGCCCGGACAAATCAATTCTCGCTGCTAAACACCCGAGCAACATGCCGAAGTCACCGAACCGTAATCGAGCTATATTGCGCTTAGCAAGCAATTAGGCGTTGGCAGGCCAGATTTACCAGATTTACGGGGATTTAATTCGATTATTTCCTCTAGTAATCTAGCAGTGACTGATTGGACAACATAATACGCAGTTTGCGCTATAAGGTAATGTACTTATTTAACTACACAAAGTGCCAGTTACTCTAGTATTCGTTAAAATGCGCATAATCAATGGATCCTATATGCCTTTAAGGCCAAGACCACACTGGCAGCGATCAACGACAGACGCGTAACGACAAACGACTTTCGAAAATTGAAACTATTGTTGTCTAATGAGGCCATTGCACACAACACGCGACAACGACCAGCGACAACCATTGACGACAAAAATATTTAGAAAAACGTTTCTATTTTCACAGCGACAGTCGCACCGCGACAATTTACAAACAACCCAATCGCAGGCCGTTCCATGCGCACGTACATCGTAGCGAATAAGCACAGCAGGAGTTTTTGGCCGGTTTGTTCATGTGATTGATGTGTGGCGAGTGCTGGGTGAGACGTTGACAGCTATAGGTCAGTCGCTGTCGCTGTAATGTGTTGCCTCCACCGTCGCCGCGACTTTTGTCGTTTGTCGTTAGCGGTCGGTCGCGTGTCGCTGCAGTGTGTCTTGACCTTTACAACGTGCGTGCGTGCGTGCGTGCGTGCGGTGCGTGTGCCATGTACACGGTTCGTGCGTGCGTCGTGCGTGCGTGGGAACGTACAACCGTGCGTGCGTGCGTGGCGTGGGCATCGTATCTACGTGCGTGCGTGCGTGCGCTGCGTGCGCGGGTATGCACGTACTACGTGCGTGCGTTCCGTGCGCATGTACACGTCCGTGCGTGGCGTGCACGTATCAGCGTGCGTGCAGTGCGTGCCTGCGTGCGTATGCACGTGAACACGTGCCGGGCGTGCTACGCACGTACATGTGCGTGCGTGCAGTGTGCAGGTACACGAGCGTGCGTGCCGTGTGCACGTACACGTGCGTCAGCGTGCGTTGCCGTGCAGTCGCGTGGGCACGTAACGTGCGTGCTTGAGTGCCGTGTCCCACGCTACACCAACCTGCGTGCATTGCGTGCGTGTGCAAGTACACGTGCGTGCGTGCGCTGCGCCTTTCGGGCGCGGGTATGCACGTACTCACTGCGTGCGTTTTCGTGCGCCGAAGTACACGTCCGTGCGTGCGTGTGCACGTACAACTGTCGTGCGGCGGGCCCTGCGCACTTCGCGACGCACCGACACGTGCGGGCGTGCGTAGGCCGGCCCCCGGCCCCGCCACCGTCACACATCGCCGGGACACAGCACAGCGACAGAGCTAGCAACGACCACACACAAGACAAGTGTGCACGAAACACGACATTGAGTGCCGACTGT